GCGATTTGTGTGTATGCAATTGTTGTTGTCAGCTGTGAACAGCGGTTCAATTTGCACAGACGAACGAGAGCACAAAGCGTGTTGCCCGAGCACGAGCAAGTCGGTGCCCCTCTCCTTTGCTCGTCACGCTCTCTCCTACAAACGTCGAGTTGCGGCAACAAAAATCGCCGTGTGTAAATGAGCACTTATTATATTTCTGTTCCTCTTTCCTTTTTCGTTCTTATTTTTTCATTTTGCTTTGAACTATGGTAAATTTGCTCGAAGTGTGGTGGCACGGAAAAATTTTTGGTATGGTGGCAGCCGACACTTCTCTACCGACACCGCATCGAGAGGTGCATTTCGTCGACGAGTGGTATATTTGCTCGACCGCACCTCTAAATTTTTGATGCCACACACTGGACTCTGACCAGAGAACGTTTATAAATGAGAAGCCGCATTTCCAGTGTGAGCTTTTTGCTATCAAAAATGTTTGGTCATGCATTTGGGACTGGTGTGCTCTTTCAGTGAAGCTTGCAAACTCTATATGGATCAGCTTTTCTAATATTAAAGGAATGTTCTTTTTAAGCAGAGCAGGGGAGAAATCCGGTTCCATATTAACACTTTCATAAATATTGTACCACTTTTTAGTCCAGTACGAACCTTGTCGCACTGTCTCCTCGGCCACGATGCGGGGCAATCTGTTAGACGGTAGACTAAAACAGCGCCCAATAAAAAACATATGGGCATGTAAGGTGTGGAAAATTTGAGGGCATAACCCGGTTTGCAGGTGCAGCATATAGTTAGGGGTATTAGAGGGAAGAAATATTAACTTTTTTAAAAAGAAACGCAGGAGTTTCCCTACGGATTCAAACTTATCAATGCCCCAGATTTGTGCGCCATAAAGCATAATGGACCTAGCCGCAGCATCGAAAATTTTCATCTTCTTTGAGATAGAGATACGAGGGTTGTTTTTATATTTGATCCATGTGGCGTTTACCGCAGTTTTGGCCTCAACTAGTTTTGCGTCTAAGTGCTTCACAAAAGTAAGTTTGTAGTTTAAAAGTAAACCCAAATACTTATACTCATTGGCGCATATTCATAGTCATATTTAGTACTCAACTAAGTCAAAACTATTCTAAGTCACAACTAAAGCTATTAATAGTCGCCTTAGTTTCGACTTTTCTGGCTAAGTACCAACTTAAAATTTAGTTTCGGCTGCAGCTGCAACTAAGTCGTAATTAGGTAGAAGTATTTTATCAAATTAAGGGAAAACAGACGAAATATGTAAAAATTAAGTTGGTAGAGGGTGATTTTGATAATATTTAAATTTACAAAGATCGATCCATTTTAATCGGAAGATGAAATTAAATGCGTATTACAATTCGAATAAAGCTACATTACAATTTTATAATTGGAATAATTTATATAAATTCTCAAATAATAAGTCAGTCTCACGCTAGTTCTTTTAAAGTAAATTTGTGCATAACATTTAGATATCTACTATTTGTATGTTTCACAGCATGCTTTCGATAAACATCGACTTCACATCACTGCGGTTGTCCTGGCTATTTCACACAATTAACAAGAAAATGATACTTTATTCTTTTGCATAATCATGCAATGAAAATAAAAATTACATAAACGGATGATCAAACTAGACATATTTACTACGTTTATACGCACATAATAATCGACTTAATTGAAAGCGCATTGACACCGTACACATTTCGCTCTAGTGTTTATACTTACGGCTTTATATCGGCATCAAAGTAACCGTCTTCAAAAGCAAACAAAATAAGCTGTTTTCATTTGACATTTTATAAGTAAACATAATGGAAAGTGATAAAAATCTAGTTTTATTCGGCAGTATAAAATCGTGGCAAAGAAAAAGAACGATTATTATTACTCAGCTTTTAAATACTGATGCGATTATTTGGAATTTCAGCGGAACAGCTGATCTCCAATTCGCTTTGAGTGAGAGCGGTGTTTATACACTCTTTCTAACTGTCTGGAGAAATAAACTACCGATTTGAAATGGAGTGTGAGCCAAAACACTTCGCTCTTTCAAAGCGAATTGGAATTCAGTTTATACATATGTTTTGAGTCGCGAAATGAATTAAAGCGACTTATGCATGCGTATAAACGTAGTAATTATTTAATAAAAATGTAATTTTTCCAAAATATCGTAAAGAAAAATCGATACATTTTCACACTCTTTTGCTATATCGTAAACTAAAACTATGTTCACATATCAATATTATCTCGATCAAAGCTCGTTTTTTAATCACCCCGTTTACACAGGCAAATCTCAGATTATTAGCCGTCAAATTTGTTGTGCTTGTTATTCTCACATTCAAGGAAAAGTTATGTTTCTTCTCTGTGCCACCGTGATCACGTTTTTCTGCTATAATAAGCAATATAAATATATTTTAACTTAACATTTTATTAAAAATACCTTTACAAACCTCTTTTACTTGCTAGCGTACATTTTTGTTTACTTTTACATTTGGCATTTCTTCTCTCTTTCGCAAAAACAGTCGATAAAACTAAGATGGACACCGAAAAGTTATCGGTTAAATCTGAGATTATTTTATAATTACAGATTACCAAGGGACGAATTTTATATGGCTAATCTCTTGTTATAATTACAGATTTTGGTGTTAAGCTCGAAAATGAGCATAATCTACTTATATGTGAACCTAGTATAAGTCGAAACTACTTAGGCCCTGTGCCAATTGATAGAAAATAGAAAATTTTGACGGATCAAAGTAAAAATTTGACACTTCTCGTGGTGAATACGAACGTCAAAATTTTACCTAGCTCATGGGGCTAGGTAAAATTTTGACAGCTTATAACCATGTATACACATAATATTGCTTGGCGGTAATAAGGAGTGAACATAAAAATGAAAGCTGAAACAGCATAAAAAAGCTTACGTTACTTGCAAATTATAAAATAAATATAAATTTTAAGAATTTCAGCAACACACAAAAATAGAGCTTTCGCACGAGCGTTTGTTTGGTTTTTGAACTGTCAAAATTTTACTTTGCACTCGGCACAGCAAAATTCAATTTATTTGTTCACCATAGCAAATTTTTCCACCCCGTCTCACCACGGAGAAAAAAGTTACCGATTGGCACAGGCCAATCTTCTTCGGATATCCGCAATCGCGATTCGCCGTTTAACGGGCTGAATCCTTTGTCACCGTTTAAGTAAAAACTCCACTATTGATTATTACTTTGTGGACGATTAAAACTCGCGCACCACATATCTAACTCCTTTCAGAGCATACATCAACCTAATTTTTGCCCTTGCTCTTGTGGCCCGAGGAAATTACCTTCAAAAGACTTTCACTCAATCGATACACGCATACGCACCCATTCTTCCACATCCCGGACATAAACATATTTGTTGACACATACACATATTCAAGCTTTGATCAAACAATTCGTTTCACACAACATTATGCTAACAGTGACATAGATAAGTGGGTTCTGGTTTGAAGGTATTTGAAGGTGTTTGATGGGGTTTTATGCGGCTTTTAACACAAAAGGCTGCCGCTACACATGCCTTCCCATGAAGACGGTAATCTCCTCGATCTTGCTCTGAAGTCTGTTTCAGATAAATTGAAGGAGCTTCATGTCGTTCTGGAGACGTGTAGTTATGCGGGGTGTGAGGGATGTGTGTGGCCTTGCCGTAATTGGCTGTCTGCGCTGCTGTGGAGTTTACCGCCCTGTGGTGGTAGTGGGTGGCGTCGCAGTTGGGGTTTGCGACCGAGCAGCGCAACACGGGCCCTCAAAGTTCCTCGCCCAATTTCGCGTGGTTCACAAACCTGAACATACCCTAAAGTGGCACCAGCCAAGGCAGGTGTTGCGCTTGACTGATGTCACATTACGCAATATCCTGGTCTGACAATACCGTGCAGATTGTAGGGGGAACCAGGAGTTGTTGGCGGCGCCGTGTGGGTGGTGGTGCGGTTGTGTCTGTTATGTGGTCTGTCGTGATTGTGGTGTAGTCTATTGTGTTGTTATGTTGTGGTGCTGTGGTGTATGTGTTGAGCTACTCAGGTGGACTGGGGTTAGCCGTGGAGGCCCCAAACGATGTGGTGCACTGCCGATGTGTCCGTAATCCTGAGGTGACTCCATCCCTCGCAAGCATTGCACTTGACTGAGGTGCTCCGGCTACTGCAGCAGGTTAAACTCCTACCTGAGTAGGCTGAATGAGGATGTGCCTAATGAATGTCCGGCATGCGGAGAGACCCCACATGACTCGAAACATCTCTTCGCATGCCCGGCAAACCCGACATCCCTAACGACCTTGTCCTTATGGGCAAACCCCGCAGAAGCTGCACGCTTCCTAGGGTTGCCGTTAGTGGAACTTGACGACAACGACTGAGATACCAACCGATCTGGGCGGGGTTGTTGTAGCCGCTACAACAACAACAACAACAGAGGTGGAGTTGTGGAGTAGTCGTCTCTAGCATATACAGCAGGTGTAGGTTTCTGGCTCTGGGTTTGACTCGATGTCAGCCCTGAGCAGAAGAATACGTAGCAAATGTAACCCTATGGACGAACAACTTCTGAGATACTCGCCGACCTAGACCTGTCGTGGGGATGCGTCGTCACGCAAGCAAGATTTGCCAGTACGTGAACACGGCCGGTTACAGTCGATAGTATCGATAGTTTTAAAACATCGATAGTATATTTTGAAAACTGTAAACATCGAAATATCGATGGTATCGGAAGGTATTTTTACACCAGTGCCCATGCGTTCTTTTTGATAGGAGATTGGTGCGAAAGTGTAGTTAATTTTTTTATAATATCCGTTTCTTTCTTTTGGATGCGTAGCTAGACCCTCACACACTTTTGCTCTCAAACTTTACGGTCGTGTAGCTGGGCAACTTTACAGGTAATTGATATACAACAATCTCTGAGGAATAACCTGGCGCTTTGTAGAGAAGCAAGTCTCTGCCAGTCTTCCAAACCACAAAAATAATTATTTACGTCAAATAACTTAAACAAATGGGTACCCAAAAAACTTTGGAGATCGACATGTTTCCAGCAGAACTGGAATTCGGTGTATTTACTAGTGATGAAATCAAACGACTCAGCGTTGTCAAAATTATCACTGGCTTAACATTCGACCCACTAGGACATCCTCTGCCTGGCGGCTTGTACGATAACTTAATGGGCACTTACGGGCGTCGTATGGAACCTTGCGGTACTTGTTATAACATACAAGCCTGTCCCGGCCACATGGGATACATTGAGTTGAATGCACTTGTTTTCAATCCGTTTTTTATTAAACTTGTGCAAAAAATGTTGGGTATTTTTTGCCTAAACTGTTTCAAGATTCAATTAAAAGGTAAAAACCTGCACTATAAATAAATATAAAGTTAATACCTTTGAACTTTCCTTCCAGATCATGTATGTGAAGTGCTGACATTGCAATTACGTCTTCTAGAGGCGGGGTATATCGTGGAAGCGCAAGAGCTTGAAATATTCAAATCGGAGGTCGTCTGTCAAAATGAAGAGAATTTGGTGAAACAAGAAGGTGGCGATTATGTGCATCCACATATAGCCGCTATGTTCGAACTTTTAAAGAAAGGTGAGCTAAAATTTCAAATTTCCTTAATTATACTATTTATGTACATATGTACATACATACGTTCATATGTGATTTTGATTTGTAGGAGAATCAAACGCTTCTAATAACACGAAAACTTCGTGTGCAGTTCGATCAGCCATAGTACATGCAGCGCTTCAACGTGTTACTTTGAAGAAATGTATGCATTGTCAAAAGCCCTTGCGGAATATTCGTTACCTGTATCGAAAACTAGTTTACTATGTTACTGCGGCAGAGATGAATAGTTCGTAAGTAGCCTTTTGCCCTTTATATATAATTTCAATCGCAAATAGTTGATTCTTTTATTTACTTTCAGCATGCCCGAAGCAAAACAGACCACTGGGCAAAATAAGTCTATTTTCGCTGATGAATGTCGCAAAATTTTGAGACAAATTTACGTCAATTACCCGGACTTATTAAACCTTTTGTTTCCGCTTTTAAAGCAAAATGCTAGTAGAAGTGATTGCCCAGTTGATATATTTTTCATGGATACTGTACCAGTTATACCGCCGAAAGCGCGTCCGCCAAATATATTGCATGATCATATTGTTGAACATCCACAAACTGCAATTTACAGGGCTATAATTGAAAATAATGCCGTATTGCGTGTAGTTATGAAGCATCTTAAAGGTTTACGCGATGAGCTCTCAGAAGAAGCCCAACGTGTTTACGAAACTACACGAGGGAAATCGTCTTATGAAAAACTGTATAATGCTTGGCAAACTTTGCAAACATCTGTTGACATGTTGTTAGATATAACCGCCAGCAGAGATGCTCCCTCTAATCAAGGTCTGAAGCAAGTCTTGGAAAAGAAGGAGGGCCTCATACGTAAGCATATGATGGGCAAGCGTGTTAACTATGCGGCAAGAACTGTCATAACGCCCGACCCAAATATTAACGTTGAGGAAGTGGGTATACCAGATATTTTCGCACGAAAACTCAGTTATCCAGTGCCGGTGACACCATGGAACGTTGCAGAGTTGCGTAAAATGGTGATGAATGGGCCGGATATTCACCCTGGGTGAGTTGTGCAGACGAGCTGTTAAGCTCTGTATAATCGAATAAAATACAATATTTCCAGTGCCAACTATATACAAGACGAAAAAGGTTATACCACACTTATACCAGCTGATAATGCTGCCAAGCGTGAAAGCATGGCAAAATTACTTTTCAATTATCCTGAAAATGGTATCAAGGTTGTGCATCGTCATGTCATAAATGGAGATGTACTTCTGCTCAATCGTCAACCGTCACTCCATCGACCATCCATAATGGCTCATAAGGCACGCATACTGCCTGGTGAAAAGACATTTCGACTTCATTACTCAAACTGCAAGGCATACAATGCCGATTTCGATGGTGATGAAATGAATGCACACTTTCCACAAAGCGAAGTGGCAAGAGCGGAGGCTTATAATTTGGGTTAGTAGATACACAACGGACTCCAAAATTTTTCTGTTCCAGTTTCACATAAAAATTAAAAACTATTTTATTATTTGCAGTAAATGTGGCAAGCAACTATTTGGTGCCTAAAGACGGTACACCCCTAGGAGGTTTAATTCAGGATCATGTTATTTCGGGCGTAAAATTATCTATAAGGGGACGTTTTTTTAATCGCGAAGACTATCAACAGCTGGTATACCAGGGCCTTTCGCATTTACGTGAAAATATAAAATTATTGCCTCCAACCATTTTAAAACCGACCGTGTTGTGGTCTGGAAAACAGGCAAGCCTATTATGAAGCACGAATGCACGAACGCATTTATTTACTAATTATTATTTTCTCATTTCTGTAGATTCTTTCAACTATTATCATAAATTTGATACCAGAGGGATATGCGCGTATAAACTTGCATACGCAAGCTAAAATTAATTCAAAGGTGATTAAAATTTAGTATTCATCTGAGTTGAAGCGCTATTTATATTATTTTTTAGACTTGGATTGTGTCGCAACCGCATGAAGCTGCCTGCTCTCCTGTTGGTGGCAGTGATTTGTGTGAAAGTAATGTTATAATTCATAAGGGAGAGCTGCTGACTGGAGTTTTAGACAAGCAACAGTATGGTGCAACCACTTATGGTTTAATCCATTGCATGTATGAGGTAAACCAGTGGTGCCTCTAAAAATTGTATAAAATTAATTTGAAATTTACAGCTATATGGTGGCGAAGTATCCACACGTATGCTAACGTCTTTTACTAAAGTTTTTACATCATTTTTACAACGCGAAGGATTCACGCTAGGCGTACAGGATATTCTTGTTACAGCTGAAGCAGACACGCAAAGGCGTCATATCGTCAAAGAATGCCGCGAAGTGAGTGACGGTAATCTTTATTTTTCAATTTAAATTTCTTGAAGTTTAATTGTAGATTGGCGATTCAGCCGTTGCTGCTGCATTAGATTTGGATGAAATACCCTCGCTTGATATGCTTATTCAAAAAATGGAGGAGGCATATGCAAAAGATCCCAAATTTCGAGTAATCTTAGATCGTAAGTACAAGTCATTGTTAGATGGTTTTACTAACGATATAAATCGTACCTGCTTGCCCAATGGTTTGATATCGAAATTCCCACAAAATAATTTGCAATTAATGGTGTTATCTGGCGCGAAGGGTTCCATGGTGAATACTATGCAAATTTCATGCTTACTGGGGCAAATTGAATTGGAAGGCAAACGCCCACCTCTAATGATTTCTGGAAAATCACTACCAAGTTTCACATCCTTCGAAACATCACCAAAATCGGGTGGCTTCATTGATGGCCGTTTTATGACCGGCATCCAGCCGCAAGACTTCTTCTTTCATTGCATGGCTGGGCGCGAAGGTCTTATCGACACTGCTGTGAAAACTTCACGTTCAGGCTACTTGCAACGATGTCTTATAAAGCATCTTGAAGGTCTCACAGTTGGTTACGATATGACAGTGCGTGATAGTGATAACAGTGTCGTACAGTATTTGTATGGCGAAGATGGGCTAGATATACTGAAGTCGAAATTTTTCAATACAAATTTCTGTATGCAATTCTTGGCTCTTAATTACTCCGCAATAATACATACAAACGAGTTGACAAGTTTCAAAGATGAGCACACGCTTATGAAAATCTCCAGACATGTGAAGAAGATACGAAAATGGCAAAGACAGCATAATGATAGGCATGGTTTAGAAGAACCGAAGAGAAGACTCTCGGCATTCTCCGCCTTTTCAACAGATGTGCAAGCGAAAGGCAACTTAAATGAGGTAAATGGTAAAACGGGCCGTAGTTTTAGAGATGAATATAAACAGAAGCTGTGGAGAAAAGCTGATACAGAAACGAAAGAGCATTACAAAAGGTTAAATGTGCATTGTCCTGATCCCACAACTGCTTTATACAGACAGGATAGCTATTATGGCAGTGTTTCCGAACGATTGGAGAAAGTAGTAGAGGACTATATGAAGAAATATCCAAATAGTAAAGCTGGAATTGATGATATAATGCATTTAAAAAATCTTAAGGCATTAGTCTCGCCGGGCGAACCCGTTGGTCTCTTGGCCGCCCAATCAATTGGTGAACCTTCTACTCAGATGACACTGAATACTTTCCATTTTGCTGGTCGTGGTGAGATGAACGTCACGCTGGGTATACCACGCTTGCGTGAAATTTTAATGTTGGCATCAGCAAATATCAAAACGCCATCAATGGATATTCCAATAAAGATGAGTCTTGCGAAGAATGCCGATAAGTTACGCATCAAGCTGAATCGGGTAACGCTTGCGGACATATTGCAGTGTAAATTAAATCAGTTCTGTATTTGAAACGTTTTGACTTATAGTTTTTTTTTTTCATAATAAAGATGTTAATGTGAAAATTAAGCTAGTTCTGAAGCCTGAACGCGCATATCAATATAAGCTGAAATTCCAATTTCTGCCGCGCGAAGCCTATCAGGACGATTTCTGCGTGCGTCCCAAAAAGGTACTGAAATATATGAGCGAGGTTTTTTTCAAGCTGCTGTTTCGCGCTGTTATAAAGTCTTCAAAGGGCAAAGCTTCTATGTAAGTTTCAATAAATTAAATTAAAATATACGCTGATAAAAAAAGAATATATATATAATTTTAGTATTGATATTAACGATGGAAAAGGAAACGGCAACAAGGAGAGCGACGACAAGGATTTAGACGAAGATGAAACAGGAAATGATCTGAATGGCGAATTGAAAAACGGAAAGTCATCGAATTCGGCAGATGTAGATTCCTCTGACGACGAAAATGTAATTTGATTAATAATTGAATATAAATTCAGTCTTAACTAAAATCTTTACTTCTTTTATAAGAATGACGATGATGACGCCACTGGCAGAAAATTCAAATCGCGCAAAGAAGATGAAAATGAATATGATGATCCTGAAGATGTGGAAGAAATCAAAGATGCTAACGATGATGATGAGTTGGCAGGGGCTGAAGACGACGTCGAAGAGGTTGCGGTCACGGCTGACACAGATGACGCTATGGTCGAGAGTGTATTGAACAATGCAATGGTGCGAGAATATTCCTACGATAAGGAAAGACATCAATGGTGCAAGCTAACCTTTAATGTAAGTAAAAGCACTTTTACAAAACTATCAAATAAATAATTTTGTACGACTAATTTTAGCTATCCATGATATACAAGAAGCCAGATATTTCATCCACCATACGTGAATTAGCAGGCAAATGTGTTGTGCACCAAGTACAGAATATAAAACGCGCTATTATTTATAAAGGTGACAAAAATGCCCACCTACTCAAAACAGACGGGATTAATATTGTCGAAATGTTCAAACACAAAGAAATTTTAGACTTGAACCGCCTTTATACCAATGATATACATGCCATAGCAAAGACTTATGGCATCGAGGCAGCGGCGCAAGTTATAATTAAGGAAGTAACAAATGTTTTCAAAGTGTACGGAATTACTGTTGATAGACGTCATCTCTCCTTAATTGCCGATTATATGACTTTTGATGGTACTTTCCAACCACTTTCCCGAAAGGGCATGGAACATTCATCTTCACCTTTGCAACAAATGTCCTTTGAATCTTGCTTACAATTTCTGAAAAATGCGTCCGGAAGTGGTCGGGTAGATGAGCTTAGTTCACCATCAAGTCGGTTAATGGTTGGACTACCAGTACGAAATGGCACAGGTGCCTTCGAATTGTTGACGAAAATTTGTTAATACCACAATAAAACAGTTTTTTTTTCTAAAAGTGCACATAATTCGCTTTTAGTTAAATTGTTAAATACTTTGATATATGATGATGTTTTTTGTGATTATGGTACTTGTCCATTTCATACATAAGATCGATACGCCCCGTAGAGCACGAAGACGGAATCCCAGTGGTTAAACAATTATTCTCAGATTATTTCAAAACGCTTTCATATTATATTTGGAATTACCATTCTTTACATTATTTACACCAGAATCCTGTGATCCACTTTCACATATCACGTTTAGTTACGTAAATACTTGTATAACGCAATATTCCCTATTTTAAGGCTGTATATCTCTCACTCTGATTCTTCGGAGGTGCTGGCATAACTTGAAAGCAATGAAAGGCCTCCGTTTTTATTTTCCGTCGGTTTTAGGCTTTCTGTTTTACTTGTAGACGCGCCCAAGCCCGCTGAAGAAACTGTTGCTGTGGGTGGATTCAATTTCGGTACAACGAGTGGAGTTTTCCGTTTTACGAGTGTTGAAGTTTTTATTGTGACAGCTTTAGTTTTGGAGCTATGCGCTTGAGGCGCTAAAATAGCAGTATTAAGTTTTGCTTTCTTTGCTTCAGAAGATAAAGATGCTTCATCATTAATTTCTTCTATTATTTCTTCAGCAACAATTTTTCCTGCTGTTTTGTTCGCTTTGAAGTTTATAGATCTAGAGTAGAAGTAAGAACATGTACATTGATATACAAATTTTACAAACTTCTGCGTTAACTTACTTTACAAACTCCTCATCTTCCTTTTCTTCGCGCTTTAATCGCTCCTGCTCAGATTCCGCGCTGTTGTACTGTTGTAACATTGACTCATAATCGACATTGTGTTGGCGGCGATTCAAATCGCGCAGCTCTTCCAACGACTCAAGCATTTCGATTTCGTTACGCGATTGTTGTGTGCGGTTTTCCAGTAACTTCATTGGATTGTTTGCTTCTTCTTCGCGTTCTTCCTCTTTATATGTTTGGAATTAAATTAAAAAATTGGAGTCAATAAAGTTTCTATTTATTTACCTATCTCTTTGCGTGCTTGTTCCTCTGCCAATTTTAACGCCATAAAATTTCTTGTTGCGCCCGCCTCAATTTCATAGTCAGTGTTCTGTGGATCAGTTTTAAATGAAATCTCCTGCAGACATCGTGTGCATTTGATGTAAAAACGGTAGATACGTATTCCTAGATAAGTTTCATTTTCTACGTCTTCCTTTCGGGCATTGAATTTCTTTCCTTTGTAAATATATTCCCCGCAAGTCTTGCACCTCATATTAAACGGTGCCATTAAGCGAACTGTATATTGCCGATTTTTGGCAAGCTTCATGCGAGGAATCTTCGATGGATCGAAGTCCGGTGGGTAATATTTCTGTATATATATATATTAGATTTATTGGTGTCATATTATGGTAATTAAATAGAAAACTTGCATTTAACACTTTTCGTTCAGACATCTTGCTGCAAAATCAAAAGAGGTTTCGCCGGACAGAATACTCCTGGTCAACTTTTTCAATTAGAAAGAACCAGGCCGAATCCGCAACAATAACAGCAATATGTGGCCACGACGTCAGGTCTACGTAAACGAAACGACCCAGATTTATATCTGGTCAAGGACTGTCACTTCAGCATCACTCTGTTACAACAACAAAAACTGCAATATATGGCGTCGTTTAACTACCAGGTATAAATCCCAATAAATTGTCCTCGCTGAAACGTAGGATGGTATGAAGAACCACTTCCTCAGAATGCCTGTTGGTTAGGCTAGTGTATTGGCGCTTCTGATGGCTGGCTGTATTTGGTTATTATGTAAATTTATTTCAATGCCAACGTTTACCCACATACCATGCTAGAAATAGAAGTTTCATTATATTTGTGAAATTAAACGAAAACTGCAGTATAAACGAAAAGCGACAATAAATAATAAATAGAGATGAATGTTCTCAAAAGTTTCGTCGATACTTTTCCGCCGATAACCTTTACCAGCCATCTTCACCTGCTTACAAATCACGCTCGCGTTCTATTTTTATCTCTAGCAAGTGAGATGGACTTTTGTTTGAAAGCACAATTTTTCCCGAAATTCTAAAGGCTGATTCACATACAAGTTTCTTCGCTTTGCTTGATGGTTCTTTGCTTTGACATATAAGATCGATGTAGGCATATGCATGAGTATGCTCACATAAAAAACGTTTGAAGCAAAGCAAAGCAAAACGAAGCAAAACTTGAGCACCTCTCAACTTTTGCCCGCTTTGGCAATCAGCCGTCTACATGTATCTTTTCCCGTGCGCTTACATTTGCATTTAATGAAAAAAATAGGGTAAATAATAGTAATAGAAATTATTATTGCTACTATTAATGCATATTATTATATTGTTATCTATTTTACAGATAAAAAATATGGAGGAAAAGGAAGCAAAAGCTGTCAAAGCGTTTATTGTAGTATACCTTCTGCGTTTCATGCTTTGTTGGCAAAGTTTGAACTGTCAAGCAAAGCGAGGAAAGTCTTATGTAAATGGCCCCTAAAGGTATTCGGGGAAACTTCGCCAGAGTGCACCACGCTTTGAACAAAATGACTTTTTTGGGAGGGTTGAGGGGGTCGTACACATCACAAAACTGAAAACCGCACGCGAGGAAACTCATAGTTTACGAATAATTTGTTGTTAAAGTTGAAAATTTCACCTAACAAAATGTTCGATAACAAACCATTTCAAACAAATACAAGTGTGCAGAAAACACACATTCCAACTAAATTAAGCTCTTTAAACGTTTACTATTTCATATTTTATTAATTTCATTATTTAACGATGAGGAACACGTTTATAAATTTGTTTAATTTTTTTTTTTTTGGATTTGGTTAAGTTGGTAGGAACTGTCAGTTCACAGACACCAGGTTATTCGTATTTTTTCTTTATTTGTTTCGTCGATTGGTGACAGCATGTGGCGAGGCGCATTAGTATGACAGCGCCTTGATGTGGTTGCAGCAAAAATTCGTGAATTCCTCTTCAGGTTATACGTCTTCCTTCGTTATCTGTATGCCTGATTGTGACCGCATATAGTAGCCGCAAAATAGCATAACCTCCTCATAACTAGAGGGTCTATATTGTATTGATACTTGTTTTTGTATCATGTGTGTGAATAATAAGTAAAAAAAGGAGTGTGGTGGACGGCATTTTCACCACAGATAAACCACTTCAGTAATAATAACTATAAAATAACATGTTAAAACCGTGGAACAACTGACTGAGGTTATAACATTCTTGAAATATTTCACACTCAGCTCGAGGCTCATCAAGAAGAGGGCATTCAAAAATTTGGTGAATGTAGCTGTCAAATTGGCCACAACTACAGACATTTGAGTTTAGTGCATTTATGGTATTTATTAGTGGTGTAGTGGTAAGCCATGGTGAAATGAACTGAAGGTGGCGCATTCCCGAAACCGCTACTTTGGTTTTGCCGACTTTGACATTTATGGCAATACGTAAACAAACTTTTTGTTTAGAAACAAGTGCAAACGTATTACAAACGTATTGTGCACTTTCAGGTGAAAAATCGAAAATCGAATCGTGCGTTCTGAAGTAAAAAACGTTTTATTTGTAATAAAAACTTTATAAAAATGTCGTGTCGTGTGTTGAATTGCAGCAGCCGTAGGGGTAAAGCCCCCAAATGCAGTTTTTTTTTGTTTCCCCGCGACGACGCCTTGGCCAGAAAGTGGGTAGAGTTCTGCCGGCAGGAGAAGCCATACAATTTAGACACCAGCGTAATATGCATGAAGCACTTTATGGACCACTTTTAAACACGACATGTTAAGTTGAAAACGTTGATATACCACAAAATTACAAATTTAAATCGGAGGTAAGCAAGCATCGACCGCTTTCTGCAGGAAAACATACGCTGCGACAAGATATTATCACTTTTTCGGCACCTGCAATACAAACACAAAAATT